TTTTAAATTATAGGAAATAAAATTTCCAGAGGGTATTGACTTTCAAAAGAAGCCATATTGATAAATAATATTTAGTCTAGTACATGGTCCTTCGTGGGCTTCCCTGATAGCTCAGGTGGTAAAGAATCTGCCTGCAATGCAGGAGACTGCAGTTCAATTCCTGGGTCTGGAAGATCCGCAACAGAAGGGATAGGCTACCTAGCTCAGGCTGGGTAGGAATCCACCCACAATGCGGGAGACCTGGGTTTGATCCCTGGGTTGGGAAGATCCCCTGGAGAAGGGAAAGGATGCTCACTCAATGTGGCCTGGAGTATTCCATGAACTGTATAGTCTATGGAGTTGCAAAGAATTGGACATGGCTGAGTGACTTTCCCTTTCACTTTTCATAGTCCTACTTATGAAGAGTGCTTTTTCTTATCCAAGATGCAGAATATTTTCTATAGTAATAGTCCTAATTCAGCCCCAAATGGCTGCTACTGAAACCCAAAGTGTGTGCAAAAGGGTAGAGGGCAGAGTGCTCAGTGATTCAGATAGCGAGGTTAATAGGAAAACAAATGCAGGAAGTTACCAGGTTGATGAGAAGGTAAGAGGCCAGTTGGCCTGATGATGTTGATCATGATGGCACATAAAGAATACTGACTTAATTATGAACTAACCTTTCTTTGTTATTGAAGGTAGCCCCCAACTTTTTCCAGTTAAATTTTCAAGAAGGAATTGTCAAGTTAAGACTTGAATATGAGGGTCACAAAATTCTTCTACTTCTCATTTTTTAAAAATGATTTCATGGTTTCCCATGTGAGATTGTTCAATGCAAGAGCAGAGGCTCAAGATCTCTTTTCTTTGGTTATATGCCTGAATCTCTGCCCCAGATGTTCTGATGTAACTGGTCTGTTTTAACCTGATCTTATGATGTTGTGGAAGAAGAAGATTTTTTCTACTTATTGAGGTTCTCCTGGCTGGTTTAAAAATTAAATTGACTTGAGACATATCAACAAGAGAAAATCAAGCATGAGTTTAATAATATGTGTACATGGGTTAGACCTAGAAAAACTGAATAACCACCAAATGGTCAAAGTAAAGTAAAGTCGCTCAGTTGCAACCACACGGACTGTAGCCTACCAGGCTCCTCTGTCCATGGGATTTTCCAGGCAAGAGTACTGGAGTGGGTTGTCATTTCCTTCTCCAGGGTATCTTCCCACCCAGGGATCGAACCTGGGTCTCCAGCATTGCAGACAGACGCTTTACCATCTGAGCCACCAGGGAAGCCCTCACCTTAAATATCATATTTAGCTGAAGTCAAAAGACAAAGTAGTGAATTGAAATTTCAAAGGGTAGTAGATAAGTTTACATGGAAAGACAAAAATTTGCTGGGTTATACAGAGACAGTGGAACACAGAAAAGAATCTGATTTCTAGTTACTCCCATCACAACTATATCAGATTTCTTGCTGAAATTTCTGGGTTCAGCTCTATTCTAGGAATAGGCCCTTAGAGTCTTTAGGCAGCTGTTTTGTTTTTGTTTCTTAAAAACAATTAGCTTGGCTTAATTTTCATGACTAAGAGGCACATTTTGGGATGGCAAATTTTTTTCCATACCATGGTTTTAAATTTTTGTTTATTTAATTGAGATTTAATTATTGTATCATAAATAGAGGAAAACAACAGAATGGGAAAGACTAGAGATCTCTTCAAGAAAATTAGAGATATCAAGGGAACATTTCAGGCAAAAATGGGCTCAATAAAGGACAGAAATGGTACAGACCTAACAGAAGCAGAAGATATTAAGAAGAGGTGGCAAGAATACATGAAAGAACTGTACAAAAAATATCTTCACAGCCCAGATAATCACAATGGTGTGATCACTGACCTAGAGCCAGACATCCTGGAATGTGAAGTCAAGTGGGCCTTAGAAAGCATCACTACAAACAAAGCTAGTGGATGTGATGGAATTCCAGTTGAGCTATTTCAAATCCTGAAAGATGATGCTGTGAAAGTGCTGCACTCAATATGCCAGCAAATTTGGAAAACTCAGCAATGGCCACAGGACTGGAAAAGGTCAGTTTTCATTCCAATCCCTAAGAAAGACAATCCCAAAGAATGCTCAAACTACCGCACAATTGCACTCATCTCACACGCTAGTAAAGTAATGCTCAAAATTCTCCAAGCCAGGCTTCAGCAATAAATGAACCAAGAACTTCTAGATGTTCAAGCTGGTTTTAGAAAAGGCAGAGGAACTAGAGATCAAATTGCCAATATCCGCTGGATCATCGAAAAAGCAAGAGAGTTCCAGAAAGACATCTATTTCCACTTTATTGACTACATCAAAGCCTTTGATTGTGTGGATCACAATAAACTGTGGAAAATTCTGAAGGAGATGGGAATACCCGACCACCTGACCTGTCTCTTGAGAAACCTGTATGCAGGTCAGGAAGCAACAGTTAGAACTGGACATGGAACAACAGACTGGTTCCAAATGAAAAGGAGTACATCAAGGCTGTATATTTTCACCCTGCTTATTTAACTTATGTGCAGTGTACATCGTGAAAAACGCTGGACTGGAAGAAGCACAAGCTGGAATCAAGATTGCTGGGAGAAATATTAATAAGCTCAGATATGCAGATGACACCACCCTTATGACAGAGAGTGAAGAGGAACTAAAAAGCCTCTTGATGAAAGTGAAAGAGGAGAGTGAAAAAGTTGGCTTAAAGCTGAACATTCAGAAAACTAAGATCATGGCATCTGGCCCCATCACCTCATGGGAAATAGATGGGGAGACAGTGGAAACAGTGTCAGACTTTATTTTGGGGGGCTCCAAAATCACTGCAGATGGTTACTGCAGCCATGAAATTAAAAGATGCTTATTCCTTGGAAGGAAAGTTATGACCAACCTAGATAGCATATTAAAAAGCAGAGACATTACTTTGCCAACAAAGGTTCGTCTGGTCAAGGCTATGGTTTTTCCAGTTGTCATGTACGGATGTGAGAGTTGGACTGTGAAGAAAGCTGAGCGCCGAAAAATTGATGGTTTTGAACTATGGTGTTGGAGAAGACTCTTGAGAGTCCCTTGGACTGTAAGGAGATCCAACCAGTCCATCCTAAAGGAGATAAGTCCTGGGTGTCCATTGGAAGGACTGATGCTGAAGCTGAAACTCCGTAGTTTGGCCACCTCATGCGAAGAGTTGACTCATTGAAAAAGACCCTTGAGAGGGTGACAGGCAGGAAGGCCAGGGGTCTCCAAACGGAGGAAGTAGGCTGCAAGTGCAAGACATTTTTATCTCTCTTAAGTGGCAGGAGGAAACAAACTAGCAATATATTTTTTTCTTCTCTATACAAATTTCAAAAGAGGTTTCTCTTAAAATGCTGTGTTGCCATGACACCTGGTTTCACCTGAAGCTAACTACTCTCAAACCTTGAGTTAACCAATACATTTCTTTTTCTTATGGAAATGTTGTCTTAAGCTATGTTAATGTACCCCAGACTCTATCTTCAAGTTGGTTCCGCCAAACGCCAAAGGGCCTAACCTACTTACTCAGATATTGTTCCCTAATCTATGTAAATGAAACTATTTGTTGGTAATCTGCCCTTCTACAAGATTCAAGTCAATCGTTTTATGGCCAGGGATGAATTATCTGGTGCCATTCTAAACTCTAAGACATTCCTTTCTTTTCATTAACAGACTGTGAGTGACTATATAACTTACTGTATAAGCTAAAGGCTAGGAGGCGGGTATTCTTTTTGCCCCCTTCTGATGCCTGTGTCAGAAACTTCCTCTATTTCCTTATACTTTAATAAAACTTTATTACACAAAAGCTCTGAGTGATCCAGCCTCGTCTCTGGCCCCGGATTGAAGTCGTCTCCTCCGGAGGCCAAGAATCCCGGCATCTTATCGTTCAGCAACAACCGTTCACCCTGATCCTGGGAGGGATTGGGGGCAGGAGGAGAAGGGGGTGACAGAGGATGAGATGGCTGGATGGCATCACTGACTTGATGGGCATGAGTTTGAGTAAACTCCGGCAATTGGTGATGGACAGGGAGGCTTGGAGTTCTGCGATTCATGGGGTCGCAAAGAGTCGGTCATGACTGAGTGACTGAACTGAACTGAACTGAACTGAACCATAAAACTCAGCATTTTAAAGAGCACTATTCACTTTTTAGTATATTTACAAAGTATGCCACCATTGCCACTAAGGCCAAAACATTTTCATCACCACAAAAAGAAATTCCAAAATCATTAGCTGCTATGTCTTATCCCCCCTTCCCTCAGATCTTAGCAACCCCTGGTCAACTTTCTGTCTCAATGGATTTACTTGTTTAGGATAATTCACATAATTTGTATAAGATTTGTTTATGGTTTGTCTGCAGTCCTTGGCATTTGGGAGAGATCTACCCACATCCAACATTCCAGCTGGAGGACAATACTGATTTAAAGAAATAGGTCATCTCCCCAGTAACCCCACCAACCCTGGATCCCAGGAATCTTGCCAACCCTGGGTTTCAATGTCCCAGGAATAAGAATGGACCAGTAAAAAAAGTTTTTGTTATTTCTCTATGTGTCCCCATTTTGCCATCATTCTGCTGAATTTTTTAGCATCTTTTAAAAAAAAATTGAGTAGTTGTTGTTGTACAACATTATATAATTTTCAGATGTACCACATAGTGTTTCACAGCTTTTTTTTTTTTTTTTTCCAAATCACCACCGATGCATTTATTTGTGGGAGAAAGGGTCAGATCTTATTAGGAACTTTAAACTGGATATGACTAGAGACACTGATCTGCCTAACATCTGGGTGTTCACAACTGCACAGATAACCATACCCTGCACATGAGGCATCACCATTAAACCGACAAGCCTTTAACTTGATGGGGAGGGGAACACATTCTGAGCAGACACATGATTTCCCATTTAGAAGGTGCTGCCTTAATCAGACAAGTAGTGTTGAGAAAAACAAAGACAGCCTCCTAGCTGGACGTGATGGCAGCCTCCTGAAAGGGGATCACCCCCTATTTACAGAGCAAGAGCATGAAGCCCCCAACTGAGCTGCAGGATGACGGCTGGGGCTGATGTGAGGGGTGTGAGTGGGCAGTGCCACCTGACCTCAGGGGCCTGTGCCCATCCAGCGTGGGCCTCCGCAAGCCCGTCTCTAGCCCCCTGCACGAAGCTGACTGGGGAAATCTGCAGAGTAAGTGGATTGGGCCCCCACTCCCCAGCCCCACCCCACCTTCCCCTGGTCCAACAATGCCCAGGCCACTGGACACAGCCTCACCCCCACCCAGGCCCTGCTTCTGGAGAGACACATGGGAAACATGGAAACTGAAGCCCAGCGTGCTAGAGCACATCTAGGTGATGCTGGGTGGTTGTCTGACAGGTGCCCCAAGATGATCAGGCCTCACACATGGTGGCCAGCTTTTAAAGGTTGTATTTCATTTGTAGTTATGAAATGTTGGCTATATTCCCTGAGTTGTATATCACTTGTTTATTTATTTTATATATAGTAGTGTGTATCTTTTTTAGTTCCTTATCCCTAATGTGTCACTTCCCCTTTCCCTTTGTCTACTGGCAATAACTAGTTTTTTTTTTTTTTTTTAATCTTTATGTGTGAGCATTTTCTTGTCTAGTTTTATTTTTTTATTATTATTATGTTTTTTAGATTCCACATATATGTGGTAGCATACACTATTGGTCTTTCTCTTCCTGACTTATTATTTCACTAATACTTTCACTTAGGCCCTTCAAGTTTATAAGTTTATACATGTTGTTGCAAATGGCAAGATATCATTCATATTTTTTAACTGAGCAGTATTCTATTGTGTGTGTGTGTGTGTGTGTGTATATATATATATATATCACATCTTCTTCACTCATTCACCTGTTAATAGACACATATCATAACTTGCTTCTATATATTGGGGATTATAAGTAGTTCTATGAACATTAGGGTACATGTATCTTTTTTAATTTCTGTTTTCATGTTTTTCAGATACTCAGTGGATTTTCTGGGTCACGTGGTAATTCTATTTTTTAGTTTTTTGAGAAACCTCCATGCTGTTTTCATAGTGGCTGTACCAATTTATATTCCCACCAATAGTACATGAGAGTTCCCTTTTCTCAACATCCTCCCCAAGATTTGTTATTTGTGGTCTTTTTGAGGTAACCATTTTCAAAAGTGTAAGGATATGCTTCACTGTGATTTTAATTTACATTTCTTTGATGTGCTTAATTTTTGATCACCAAGGCATGATGATAGGCATCTGTAACCTCTACAGACTATTCAGGCTCTATGAAATAAAGATTAGAAATAAATAAAACACTTACAGAAATGTGGTTTCCCCACTGTTCAATTTCTTTGGTTTGAGACATGGTAAATCTAATTACAAATTAATCTTATTAACACTAATGACATGGTGATTAACAAGAGAAATGCATCTGTGGTCAAATTGCCTCTTTTAAATTTTCCAAGGAACTGCACCAGTAACAGACAGGAGGCAACAGTCTTTGGGATAAAAAGTTTGCCTGCATCTGGTGCTATCTTGATTACTACTTTCTTGGTACCTAACATAAGAAAAATAACAAAAAATTTCAGATGTATATAGTATCTTACTAATTAGCCAGTATGAGGCAGAAGTGAAAGGTGTGATCGTGACATGTGTCAGAAACCACAGTAGGATCCTGATATAGACAGCTGCTAAGAGACGGTATGAAAGCAAGCTGGCTATGAGTTTGTTCGGCAAGAAATCAAGTGGAGACTTTGTAAATCAGAGAAGCCAGATCCTAGCCTGGGTAAGTAAAAATCTAGAGGCAAAATGCTTACTGATGATACAAACAAAGAATGTTGGGGTCTGGGCTGTCCTATGGCCAGGAATATTTAGGGACCATAAAATATCTAATCTAGCCTCATGCTTGTTAATTGGCATCAGTTAAAACATGGAATAATTTTAAAAGATCCATATATTACATTTTTATATTCATTTAAAACATACAAATATGTATTTATCTTTCAATCTTTGATGGTAAGCCAACACACCCATTTTTAAAAATAAGTCTGCCAAATGGAGATATATTTTTGCACAAAACATCCATAATGCATAAGACATACTTTGAAGTTTTTATATCTTTAAAGTGGAACAAGAATTTAAGATTCTTATAAATGTATTAGTTCAGAATTATAGATTTTTAATGCCAAATTTTGAAACCACCTTGCCAATCTTTATTTCAATGATAATATGATATTGATAAACCCAATTCAATGATAAATCCAATATGTTACTTGAGAAGAGCAGAAAAATAGTTCCAAAAGGAATGAAGAGACTGAACCAAAACAGAAACAATGCCTAGTTGTGAATGTATCTGATGGTAGAAGTAAAGTTTGATGTTGTAAAGAACAATATTGCATAGGAATCTGGAATGTTAGATCCTTAAATCAAGGTAAACTGGAAGTGGTCAAACAGGAAATGGCAAGAATGAACATCAACATATTAGGAATCAGTGAACTAAAATGGACCAGACTGGGTGAATTAGATTCAGATGAAATTATATCTACTACTGTGGGAAAGAATCCCTTAGAAGAAAAGGATTAGACCTCATACACAACAAAAGAGTCCAAAATGCAGTACTTGGGCATAATCTCAGAAAAGACAGAATGATCTCTGTTCATTTCAGAGGAAGAACCATTCAGTATCACAATAATCCAAGTCTATGTCCCAACTACTAATGCTGAAGAAGGTCAAGTTGCTCTGTCTATGAAGATTTATAAGACATTTTAGAAATAACACACACACACACACACACACACACACACACACACATGCGTGTTATTATTTAAAGTATGTATATACTTTAAATAATAGTGGACTGGAATGCAAAAGTATTGGAAGTCAAGAGATAATTGGAGTATCAGGGGAGTTTGGCCTTGGAATACAAAATGAAGCAGAGCAAGGCCAACAGAGTATTGCCAAGAGAATGCACTAAACATAGCAAACATCCTCTTCCAGCAACACAAGGGATGACCTCTACATGTGGACATCACCAGATGGTCAATAACGAAATTAGATTGATTATATTCTCTGCATTCTATACAGTAGCAAAAAAAGACTAGGAGTTGGCTGTGGCTCAGATCATGAACTCCTTATTACAAAATTAAGACTTAAATTGAAGAAAGTAGGGAAAATCACAAGACCATTCAGGAATGACCAAAATCAAATCCCTTATGATAATACAATGGAAGTGACAAATAGATTCAAGAGATTAGACCTGATGATAGAGTGCCTGAGGAACTAAGAGGTTCATAAGATTGTACCAGAGGCAGTGATCGAAATCATCCCTAAGAAGACGAAATGAAAAAGGGCAAAATGGTTGTCTGAGTAGGTCTTACAAATAGCTGAGAAAAGAAAAGACATGAAAGGCAAAGGAAAAAAGAAAGGTATATCCTTCTGAATGCAGAGTTCTAAAGAACAGGAAGGAGAGATAAGAAAGCTGTCTTCAGTGATCAATACAGAGAAGTGGAGGAAAGCAATAGACTGGGAAAGACTAGAGATCACTTTTAAAAAATTAGAGATGCCAAGGGAATATTTCATGCAAAGATGGGCACAATAAAGGACAGACAGGGCATGGATCTAAAAAGAAGCAGAAAAGATTAAGAAGAAGTGGCAAGAATACACAGAAGAACTATACAAAAAAGATCATCATGACCCAGATATCCATGATGGTGTGACCATTCACCTAGAGCCAGACATTCTGGAATGCATAGTCAAGCTGGCCTTATGAAGCATCACTATGAACAAAGCTAGTGTAGGTGATGGAATTCCAATTGAGCTATTTCAAATCCTAAAAGATGATTATGTGAAAGTGCTGCACTCAATATGCCAGCAAATTTGGAAAACTCAGAAGTGGCCATAGGAAAGGAAAAGGTTATCATTCCAATCATTCCATATCATTCCAAGTTATCAGTCCAATCCCAGAGAAAAGCAATGCCAAAGAATGGTCAAACTACCACACAACTGCACTCATCTCACATGCTAGGAAAATAATGTTCAAAAATCTCCAAGCCAAGTTTCAACAGTATGTGAACGGTGAGCTTCCATACATTCAAGCTGGATTTAGAAAAGGCAGAGAAACCAGAAATCAAATTGCCAACATCCATTGGATCACTTAAAAAGCAAGAAAGTCCCAGAGAAACACCTACTTCTGCTTTACTGACTATGCCAAAGCCTTTGTGTGGATCACAACAAACTGTGGAAAATTCTTCAAGAGATTGGAATACCAGACCACCTTATCTGCCTCCTGAGAAATCTGCATGCAGATCAAGAAGCAATAGTTAGAACCAGACATGGAACAACAGACTGGTTCCAATTCAGAAAAGGATTATGTCAAGGCTGTATATTGTCACCTTGCTTATCTAACTTATATGCAGGATACAAAATGTGGAATGCTGGACTGAGTGAAGCACAAGCTGGAATCAAGATTGCTAGGAGAAATATCAGTAACTTCAGATACGCAATGACACCAACATTACAGCAGAAAGCAAAGAAGAACTAAAGAGCCTCTTGATGACAGTGGAAGAAGAGAGTGAAAAAATTGACTTCAAACTCAGCATCCAGAAAACTAAGATCATGGTATCTGGTCCCATCACTTCATGGCAAATAGATGGGGAGACAGTGGAAACAATGAGATACTTTATTTTTTTGGACTCCAAAATCACTGCAGATGGTGACTGCAGCCATGAAATTAAAACGCATTTTCTCTTTGGAAGAAAAGTTATGCCCAACCTAGACAGCATATTAAAAAGCAGAGACATTACTTTGCCAGCAAATGTCTGTCTAGTCAAAGCTATGGTTTTTCCAGTAGTCATGTATAGATGTGAAAGTTTGAGTATAAAGAAAACTGAGGGCCAAAGAATTGGTGCTTTTGAACTGTAGTTTTGGAGAAGACTCTTAAAAGTCCCTTGCACTGCAACAAGATCAAGCCAGTGCATCCTAAAGGAAATCAGTCCTGAATACTCATTGGAAAGACCTTTGCTAAAACTGAAACTCCAATACTTTGGCCACCTGATGTGGAGAACTGATTCACTGGAAAAAATTCTGATGCTGGGAAAGATTGAAGGCATGAGGAGAAGGGTCAGCAGAGGTCGAGATGGTTGATGTCATCACCAATTCGATGGACATGAGTTTGAGCAAGCTCCAGGAATGGTGGTGGACAGTGAAGCCTGGCATGCTTCAGTCCATGGGGTTGCAAAGAGTTGGGCACGACTGAGCATCTGAACTGAACTGAACTGAAGGCCTTTGACTGTGTGGATCACAGCAATCCATGGAAAATTATTATAGATGGGAATACCAGATCATTA